AGAAAAGAAAAGAAAGAAAGAAAGCTATTCCACATAGAATGGCATAATAAAATTGTCATCTAAAAATAGAAGTCCTAAAAAAACTATGATGTATAGTTCTTTATAATGCTTGGTTAATTATTTCAAACTGTATATTTACCTTCTTTTTCTCCATCCTTATCAGAGTTGGGTGTCAGAAATTAAAAGAGAAGAAAGTAGAATGCGCCTTCATGAAACCGAAACATTTCCAGGAATGAAAGATCATTTGCCTCCAGTTCGTGGTTCCAACAGCTATCTTCAYGTTGGCCAGGTAGACATTTTTGTTGTGGGGCGGGGCTGTTAGGTGGAGGCAGTAGTTGCTTAAGGAGCTATCCAGTCCAAGCAGAGTAGCCAGAGAGTGATGTCCTCCAGGAGAACTGGAGTTGTTTCAGCTGGTGTGTCTGTTACCTTCAGTTTTCCATATCTCATTACTTGAAGATGAAATCAAAGTAGCATTCTCCCTTGAGGATTTGCATCTTGGATTTACTGCCTTTCCTCTTTTCTTTTGCTGTCTTCTCTTTTACTGTGACCAGTTTTTACTAGCTTAATAAGGTCCCATTCAGTGTGTGAGATTTTCAGGGAAGAATTATATTTATCCAGTTGAGGTACAGAGGATGATCTTGTGTCATTTAATTAACTAGCAATTTAAAATAATAAGCAGGTACTTTCAAGTTTGTAGATGTCATTCCTGTTTAGTGCTTCTCTGTTTTTTCTTTTATCCCCCTTTCTCTTTGGTTGGTCCTTGCTTTGTCATGTACATCTCTTCTTTTTAACCCATGGTTTCATAAAGAAAGAGCATTTGGGGGTTCTGATTGCATCTACCCAAGCTCAGGTTGAAACTGGGCCTCTTGGGATATAGCTGACCTTGTTGTTTCTGAAAGAATGGCTATCCGAGTCTTTTCATTCCAGGTTAACTCATTTTTGCTATGTCTTTGAAACCTTGATTTTATTTTAAAAACATCCATAGCTCTTTATCATTATGCTCTCTGATAATTTACCTTTCTGGACTTTACTCCATACTTACAAATTACACAGGCAATGAAAACTGACACCATCTATATCAATTAATTCATATTTATTTTCATTATTTTTTATTTTTATATAATGTTTTATGGGAGTATTTTTATTTAAATTTGGAAACAGGACAAAAGGTTATATAACTTAGTTTCATCTGGATCTTTAGCATAAATTACTCCATTTTCTTTTGGTTTCTTAGAGCTAGTGTAGGAGCTCATTCCAAGTCAATGGCTACCTATAAGGTTTTTTTTTAAATTTTATTTTTAAAAATAAATTTATTTTTAATTGGTACAAAAAACATAAAAATTATACATATTAATGGGGTAATGTAATGTTTTGATGCAGGTATATATTGTGTAATATTTAAATGGGTGTAAAAATATCTCTTCTCACTTACCATTTCCTTATAGAAAACTCTTTCTCTAGCTTTTTAAAATATACAGATTATTTTTATCTATAGTCATCCGAGTATGCAGCCACACACCAGAGCTGCTCCTATCTGTAACTTAGTACCCATGAATCACCCTTTCCCTATCTCTTCCTCTTCCCACTTTTCCCAATCTCTGATAACCACATTCTACTTTATAACTGAGTTTAAATTGTACCTGTGATACAAAGACTTCACCAAACAACTTTTAAAGTATTATAGCTGGCATAATATTTTAAACAATCTTCTATATTTTTGCTCACTGTTTCCCCTTCATTTTCTTCTCCCTATTCAAGCAAGCAGTTAATTTTAGGCTCATTGTCTCAGAGGAGGGATGTAGCAGGATGGGAAATAGATGGGTTTCGAATGTCTTCAATATTCACAGAGATTCAAAGAGAGCCATAAAAATGGAAGGGGCCATGTTATCAGATAATTAATGTCATATGAACAACCCAATTGTGTGAACTGGACCACTTCTTGTTAAACATTCCCCCATAAGTCCACAGAGCCTTGGCATTTCACTAACTTTGGGAAAAGGTAAATCTAAGATTGTTTTCTACTAGTCCGTAGAATGAGGGCTTGAGGTTAAAAAATTGTAGTAYGGGGCTGGGGATGTGGCTCAAGCGGTAGCGCGCTCGCCTGGCGTGCGTGCGGCCCGGGTTCGATCCTCAGCACCACATACCAACAAAGATGTTGTGTCCGCCGAGAACTAAAGAATAAATATTAAAAATTCTCTCTCAAAAAAATAAATAAATAAATAAATAAAT